GCAGCGTTACTGCCGTATTCAAACAACATACCGCTACAACTGAAACCCGTAGTTCGTTTCTTTGCTTCTAAGTTTGAAAACAAGACTAGAACTGATATACGATTAAATAGTCAAACAATTTATTACTGCTCAAAAATGTGACGTCTATACTGACTTTTAGTGCATTGGTGCGAAACACCTACCGTTTGGTGGGTCTAGCGCCACCAGACGTTTTGCGCCGTGATCTAGTAATTGTTTCACCATGTAGAAGTCGTTGTTTTCAGCGGCTATTTGTAAAGCACTGACAACTTGCATGTCACGTCTTCCTTCACAGTTCACGTCAACTTTAGCTCCCTAGAAACAAAGTGTCATGGTCAAAAAGAAAGAGAACGCACCCTCAGTTTGATGATCTAGTTTTCTTTCGTTTTCAATGGGGTCTAATTAACTAGATTGGCATTACTTGCCTGCAAGAGATTCTCAACTTTCTCACTATCTTGATCGATCACAGCTCGCAGAAATTCATTTTCCACTGGCGTTAGTTTACCGTTTGTTTCTTCGTTTAGATACGTTTCTTCCTTCGCGGTTAATGCAAACAGCGCCCCCTTGTGGTGATCCATGACAACACTTTGGTCACCTGGAATACAAATTCAAAGTCATATGTTTAAGAGTGTAAGTTCAGCGTGAGGTCAAGGTCACACGAAGATGAACTCGTCTTCGTAATCATTTAGGAGATACTATTTTAACTGTCAACAGACGAGTACATTGTTACCAATAAAATCGATGAGTTGACATCCTCTCTTTTACATGACATAACCAAGGTCGGTAGGCAAAAGTGCCTGGGTTAATACAATACTAGAAGTAATACATGAATATTTTTTTTCTTGGATAAAATAAGTTATTAGTAACATTGTAGAAATGGTAAAACAGTACCACGAGCATTACCTCAGTGGTGACATGTTTTGACTCAGACTCTTGAGTTTTAGAAAACGTGCGTCTAGCGCGTACAAGACGTGGCCGCGCGCTTTTTGAAAACGTTCGAATGTAGGTCGCTTTCACACCCGCTTTTCATAATAATCCTCGGGGGCGGAGCTACGTCACAGACGTTCCACGTTGCTAAGACGCGCACCACTGTACCATGCATTTCTATGGGCTCTGTGCGCGCTGCTGTGGAACGCCGGTCGAGCCGGTGAAAATTAGAGAAAACAACACAAACTCAACTTTGAAGTAATTCCGAACAACCAAATTTATATATGTTACACACGTAGGGCTAATCTTGTTGCACTGTTCAGAGGAGTCTCAACAATCATCCCAAAGTACCGTTTTCTGCGAGTTTTGGGCCTTTGTTTTCACCGCCGCGGGTTGCCAGGCGGTGAAAATGCCCGGATGTCCGCCCCCGAGGATAGACGGGGTCAATCTCCTTCCCAGAGGCCTTTGCGCTTTACGCAATAGTGCCTCTGCCACAGACAGCCTTCAATTTTGTGGTCAATCACCTCACTACGCACGGCCATTTTCCTGTAGCTGTTACATCTGAAAACGTACTACAAAAAGTGGAAAAAAACGTATGTGACATCCGAACTATTTCTATGCAAATCTGCTTTGTGCAGTGATGATAAGTAACGCGTATCGAACTGTGCGGAGGGTATGCATGTTTGCTTTTTATTGAAGAACGTACACACCATGTTCAGTCATTAAAAACATAATTCACTAATCTGGGCTCAATATCGAACGTTTGCTGTGAAATGCAGAAATTTTAATAATTGCTGTTGTACGGTCACTCATGATGCATCGCTGCCACTAGATGCATAGCTGCCGTTCTGTGCATATTTAAATCTATTATATAGAAGATAATATTTGGTAATCGTAGTCCTAAATAACTATTAAAAATAGCTAGACGTTTCGAGCAATGGCTCTTTATCGATAGCATAGAAGAAAGTGTACACTGTAATGGAATTAAATAAGCGAATGGTACAGCCAGAATTGTGTACATATATAAGGTACATGTATACATAGTACATAAATGTATTTTATTGCTCATTATTCTAAATAAATCGTCAACATTTAAAAATTGTCATTAATCCTGGCTTATCTTACAACTGTCACGGTTGCCTACCGCCCTTGATGTGGAGCGGCATTTTATAAAACAACCCTCAGTGTTGTATGTAGTACGCTCCAATAGTTTTCTGCGAGTTTAAACATAAACAAAAATATGATTTAATAAAAAATAACATCAACTATTAAATATTAAACAACATTTTTTTATTCCAACTCTATTACTAGTACGACCAGATTTCCCTGAATTGAATGTACTCACAGGCATAATGCAAGCAACATTATAGCTCATTCCTGACATGGGCGACAAAGTTGCACCTTGCCTAACGAGAATACGACACCTGATACAATAAGCTTTATGAAATATACAAGAAGCACGATGACTAATGTCCTAATTTGTCCAGAAAGAGGTTTTATAGCCTAGTATACTAAAATGGACAAAATGTCCCACTGGATGCAGATCTTTGACATGATTTCAAAACAAATATGGAAAACAATTGTTTGTACTTTGTTTGTTACTTCGCGAGCGTTAATAAAGAAGACGACTGTGTAGTTTGATATATTCCGCCAATAAAACGTTGGTTATTATTTGTCCAATATATTAACACTATCCTGAGCTTCATCACACCTCGGTACTTTTATTATTTAACCTCCTCCACCTCCTAACCGTAATTTCTGTATAATCCTAAAATATTACTCTTCCGTATTGTGTTATTAAAAATGGCGTTCCGTGGCGAGCTATTAAGCCCTCCCATTGTGCAATGTGCCATTTTATGAAAGGTAACAAAAATTGACTTTAGCGTTAAATAATGTTTTTATCTAAATTATATTGTGTGTGTACCCATCTTTTATTCAAGTTCAAAAAAACATAATCTAAAACGGGTGTTGTGTTAACCACTATATCACACGGCTAATTGAAAAGTCACTGCTATTTTATTAGGCTGGGCGTACAAGCCCAATAATAGGTTAATTTGTTATCCGACAGATTGAAATAAAAAATAGAATATAGGCTATACTGTGTGTGGCGCTCTACTCATATACGGCATCCCACTGACGCCTAGATTCGACGCTAGTAAAATCACCCGTGCTCGGACGTTGATTGTAGAATTGTTTGGTCGAATCAAAGTGTCGCCATTTCAATCATCTGACACTGAAATTTTCCGCTCACTGTCAATAAACATTGATTGACATCCCATAGTGTACGTGTGACGTTTGCGTAAATTTCAATGGGTAAGATAAGATAAGATATACTAGCTTGCTACTATGCGTTTCTGGAGAGGTGAATAGCGACTGAGGGAACATTACGCGATTTCTAGACGGGTAATACTGTATAAAACGCTAAACTATATTATTCAACCGCTGAGTCACTCCAATGCGCAACTGCCAAGCCTGATGAATCGGTTAACTGTCACGCAACTAATCACTAGCAGTTTAGTGGTTTTTACAGTACACGAAAACTTAGGAAAGCATTGTATGCAAACAAAGCCTCAATGAATTCAGTATTCGAAAGGCCAGAAGGGTACTATGATTCATCGAGTTGCGTAATACATGGTTGTGAAATAAACGTACATCCTTGGAGTCTTACCTTTACATCGTTACCGATATATCATTAACGGTTGCCTTGATTGTACGCGTTCGTGTCAGCATGATATCCATAATGGAGCGATAACAGCCCGAGGCTAGGCTTGGTTGCAATAATATTTAATTTCTAGTCGATAATACGCCCATCAATTATATTTTCACGATTTATTTGTTTTAAAAACTGAATCCTACCAAGAACTCAAGTCACATTTATGTGGAAATAACACCATAAGAATACAAAAATATGTTGCTATCATATAGGTGATTATAACATGTCATTATTTTATGAGAACGAACCGTCATCGCAGCCCCATCACATGTATTTTTCCCCATGTCGTGCTGCTCAAACGACGCAATCGGTGACACGGTCGGGCGAGCGTGGAGATACACAAATCATCAAATAAAAAAAATCAACAACACTAGAATAGTCTAAACACACTTGGTTGAATCTTTCAGTTTAAGGTACTATTAACTATGGTAATATTCAACCGTTTTCTGCGAATATTGTGAAAATCACGACGTTTGTCTTGCATATTATTTACGTTTAAAGGGCGGTGGTCGTCATGGCGTGTTGTGCCCGCCAGACACGGGGCTTATAGCGACATATACAGCACCCTTTAATCTGAATACTGTTACGTTTGTCGCGAAAATCGTGACGTTTACTGTGAAAGCTGCTACGTTTGCCGTGGAATCACGACGTTTACCCTGAATAACAGAATACTGACGTAATATATAGGTTACAAAATTTTGCATAATTAATTCACAACTCTCACAAATGACAATCCTGTCCCTTATTTGCTGGATAAAATTAACGCATCCTCACTTCAAGTGCATATCATATGTATGCACTGCTTGGGCTGGCCATAGTAAACCAAATTACTGGAAACATATTGGTAATATGGGAATACATTTGAAGGGTAAGCTCAGAAAATGTTGTGACAAGGACAATGTTTAACAACAACCATGTCGCATAGAGGTACCATTAGTTCCTTGCACATAATAGTTTAACTAATTGCACTAAGTGAGATTTTTTACGGATAAACCAATTTCCTGGTCATTAACAGTTTGTGTTGGGTTGATTTGTTTAGTTCAAAACAGTAGTTTCAATTTGCTGTGCATTTGCTCCATTTTGCTATAGCAGGATCCATGGGCATGTTTGAATTGACAGCCGACGACCGAATGTAAATATCACTCACTCGGACAACGCCTTGGATCCAGGGCGAAGTACAAATTTACCCATAATTCGTTGTTGCACTATATTAGACATTGACCTTGCTAAAACTTGTGTAATTTTTATATTGCAACACATTATATTCTCAATGAGTCTGCCATGTTTGTTTGTTTGAAATATGTGATCAGAATGTCAAATTTAGCTAAATGATGGTAAAAGACAATTTACAGATGCGTTCAATCTTTATGAAATGTAACCATCGATATAAGTACTCAGCCTAATCACCTGGCTGCTAATACGTATACTTGTTTGGTTCATCCATTCAAAGCCCAGCACAGCTGCTAGGGATTGCTCTTCTTACCGATGGGCAGTACTCTAAACAGTACATAAAACTATTCAGCAATTTGGACAGCAGACGATAGGAAAAGACATTTTTTAAAAGAGTGTACGTTCTCGGAATGCACGAGTCAAATTCACAGATAGCTGAGTATTTGTGACATTTACCAAAGGCTTACTAATCAATATCTGGGTAATCACGGGAAATGTGTGTTTGCTCATGCGTACTAGAAGTGAGCCATGTGCATTTCCAAAAGAACCGCGACATCAAAAAACAATGAATCGTGACAATTGATTACTTCTGTAAGCGTGACAGTGTGGACTACTTCGTAAACCCGATAAATTACAAAAAAACAAACAGGTGACGTGTCTTGTATTGTGGATGTAAAAACGCCACTGGTTTACGTGGCAAGAGAATGTACCAATGATAGCTTAACAGGTCAACATTATACATATACCAGCTCCAGTC